CATTGACATGGGAATTAGAAAAGAAGCCAGAATAATCTTGCCCCTTCCAATTTTCAAGTGACTTTAATTCAGGACAGTTTATATGTAAGACAGTATGTTCTTAACTCTTTCAAGAGAATAAATGTGGCCACTCACATGGCAGGCATGGGTGATGTTTCTCTTAAGCAATAAAAGTTACTCTTGATTAATGATGGAGTTACATTTTGATAAATCAGCCCTAAGTAAAATATAGAGTATGGAAGCCAATTATACAGAATCAACAAGAGCCTTTCCTGGAGATAGAGTTTCTCAGATAAAACAGAGCCATTGGCACGAAAGAAATGTTTCAAGCCAGATGCTTATGCTAAAGTCCTTAAGGTTCAGTTTCCTATGTGTATAACTAAAAGGAGGAATGACAAGAAGGAAAGTGACATTTTTTTTTGTTTACAAATAGCATAATTCACTTTGGCTAGTTTAAACTGACCATTATTTATTTAGTCATAATTGGCAGTTCACAGACTATCTTGGAGGATGAAGCAAGTCAAATTCTGAATTTCATGCTAAGTTGTTGTAATGAAGGAATACTGAGAGGCTCTGCTGTCATTATCCAGCTTTTAGAATATCTGAGACTAAAGACTAGATCTGTAAGTGGACAGAAGAACCAGAACTTTTGGCTGCATTTAGGGAAGACTAAGTTCTACAAGCATGATGCTATCCACTTTTATTTGTAGAATCTAACCCTCAAGCTAGGAAATCTAGCTTAAGAAATCTAGGAAATGAGCACAGTGTAGTGAGAATCTCCATAGAAGGTGAGATTCAAGTATGACTAGAGTAATGAAAATTTTCTTTAGGCAGTGTACATAAGGGGAACATTAGATACCAATTTTTATTTCTTTTTCTTTTTATGGAAAATCCCAAATTGATTCCAAATTTTCTTTCATTTATATTTCCTTTTCCTACTCCCTATACCAAAGCAAATCCAAAATATTATATCATTTAATTGGTACATCTTTTTGCATGTATCGATAAACAATGGAAGTTATTTTTTCTTTAAAGTAACATTGGAATGATGATTTCACCTCCAAATACTGGCATATTCTACTTGTGTTTCTATTACTGCTTTTTAGTTAGATTACATTATAGTCTGAGAATAAATATTGTATGATTTGTATTATTTAAAAAATTTAAATATAAGTTTATGGCTCAAGCTGGGTGCTGGTGGCTCATGCCTGTGATATTAGTTTATGGTTCAGAGTGTCATCTGTCTTTGTGAATGTTCCATGTGAGTTTGATAAAATGCGTATTATGTTGGTGTGAATGAAGTCGTCTACAGCCATCAATTATATGCAGTTTACTGCTAGTACTATCAACTGTTCTTAATGCTTTTCTGTTTGCTGGAGATGTCAACATGTGGTTGAAGGGTGCAGAAGTCTTCCAGTATGTCTCAGTTTTTTTTTTAATGTATCAGTTTTATCTTTATCTCTTTCAATTCAGTTTTGCCTTATGTAGTTGAATGCTCTGTTGTTAGTTTCATATACATTAAGTATTGTTATGTCTTTTTGGAGGATTGTTATACTTAATTTTAATTAATTTCTTCTTAATTTTCATTGCCTTTAATTCTTCAGTGTATGAAATTAACATAGCTCCTCCTATTTTCTTTATTTTGGGTTAGGAAGATATATATTCGTCATCCATTTAGATTTTTTCTTTTTTGTACTTGTCCTGGGGCTTGAACTCAGTGCCTGGGTGCTGTCCCTGAGCTGAAGATAGTGCTTTACCACTGAGTCTTTGCCCACTTCTGTTTTTTTATAATCCTGGCTACTCAGGAAACTTAGATTGGAGAATCACAGTTCAAACTCAGCCTGGGCACAAAAGTCTACAAGACTCTTACCTCCAATTAATCACCAGAAAACTGGAAGTGGAGCTGTGACTCAAAGCGGTAGAGTGCTAGCCTTGAGCAAAAGAACTTGGTTACAGTACCCAGGCTCTGAGCTCAAACCCCATGGCAAAAATATCCCCACAAACAACAAAAACAACAAAAGCCAAAACTCCCAAAAAACAAAGGTGAACTTCATTGTATGAATAACTATTAATAGAGTGCTGGGAAACATGAGAAGTCACAGTGGAAATTTCTGGGATTAATCACACAGGCTTGTTATTATTATTATTGTTTTTTTACTTGAGAGTTTTCACTAGATATGAACACACACAACTGAAAGCAGATTATTCACCCAAACAAAGAGAAATTGAGCTTCTTAGCAATAAAATTTAAGAAAATAATTTTATGCAGTTACTAATCACCAACATTGAGAAGAAACAAAAGCAAACTACTTCATTTTTTTGATGTTCTCAGAACTGTAGAAATAAGAGTATCATATTAAATGTACTCATTGCCTTACTCATATAACTGTAACCCCTCTGTACAGTATCTTTACAATAAAAATATATATTAATAAAATAAAATGAAAATGTGAAAAAAGAGTATCATATTATATATAATCATATTTTGGACCAATTTCTTAACTGTTATTGACATCTTTCTTTTCACTTTATACATCACGCTTTTTTTCAGGGAAGTCCTCAGGGTGAGCAAGTGAATTAATACTTCCAAAGAAATGAAATATTAATAAGACATTATGTTAGCCCTCTGAAACTTCTGTTAACTACAGAGCTGAAATTAAGAAACAGCATAATGAGTAAAAGAGGAAAAGAAAAAAAAGGAACATAACATAGGAATTGCCCAAGCCTTCTTCCTCATATTGCAGGTGCAGAAAAGTATTCTGTTTGTTTTTGCATAAATTCTATTCATTATCAAGGGACAATCTCCCTCTAGATTTCCATGTCTAGGGATCACTTTCTAATTAGATGACAGAAGAACTGCAGAATAACAAGGAGAGATGTCTAAAGATAGACATAAGCAGCACTCACAACATAAAGAATCAATTCAAGTAATTGTGAATGTCTGTCATTGCTGGCAATATAAACAAGTAATATATTATTGCTGGTGTTGATGAACACTTGATCAGGTAAGAGAATGGATGATGAGTAGGCTGGGAAGTTGTGTTTTCTCTTTGCTAGTGAGTGATCTGTCTGTTTGCAGTGATTAAATTTCCACAAGATTTAGGGATGATTTTACTGTACAATGATGGACTTCTGATGGAGATTGAGGATATGAAAAACATCATTTCCATGTTTTAACCACCATGTGTTATCACAACAAAATACTTGGCTCTTTAAATATTACTCCAATTGAAATGTCTAAATACTAAAGTTTCAGTGAATAAAATCATTAATAAAGACTAATGTGAGTGTTAATTTCTCCTTACCCAGAAAAAAATTATTTTCCCATTTCATTTTTTAAACATCTGTTTCTTGGGTAAGATAATTATAAATAATGTTGGTGCATGATTTATATTTTAAACAGGAATGCCAACTAGTGTGACAATACACAAAACACATGGCTATCAAAGAAAACCACTCTGAATTATTTGAAGACAATCTTTGAAAAATGTGGAGTAGAGGTATGATACTCTTTTCAAAATTTCTTCTGGTTCTACAGCTATATCCCATAGGATCTCTAGAACTTTCCTCTAGCAGTTTCCCCTCCCCCTCCCGCTCTCCCTCCCCCTTCCTCCTCTTCCTCCTCCTCCTCCTTCTTCTTCCTTCTTCATTTTTGCTGCAGTCAGAACAAATTATTTTCTTCTCTCAATGACTTTGTCAAAACTTGAATGGTTCTCTTTTATAGGAATTACCCAAAGTCATATCCTGTGCTCAATTTCCTGACAGTCTGTCAGAGCCTACCAGATATATATGTTCCACAAAGACTTGTTTCTTCCCCTCTGATACACTGGAACAAATCCACTGCACCTTTAAAGAGATACTTCAGGTACTCTGCAAATAATGAAAAGAAAAAAGGCAGACAGAATTTTATAATTATAAAATATAATGCAATTATATTATAATTGTAATAATTATAATTGTAAGAACAATTATAATTATAATAATTACACAATTATAGTTATAATACCATAATCAGTGTCTTTAGAACAAGAGGAAGGTAGACTTTCTTAATATTAAAAACATGTGTTCATTTCAGCAAAAATAAAGATAGAACTTAAGAAACTAATCATGAAGGAAGGCATCAAGTAAATAGAAACTTAGAGGAGAGGTCAGTTATAGTGAAACAAGGGAGAAACTGTTGAGTCAGTCAGAGGAAGAACTTTCTTATTCAGGGATTTAGAGATGTGGAAAATGACTGTAAAAAATGTCTCAGGGAAACTATAGAACAGAACTACAATAAGTCACAATGTGCTATAAAAATATTTAATGCCTGAGTTTATGGTAAGACATGAAGCCCATCATCACAATCTGGTACTGCAAAAATTCTGTATATATCTGGTACTAATCACTTTATGTGATTAATGTATTCATATTTTTCTTCCTGTTAGGGTTTCATGTTTTCAAGGTTATGAATAACAAAGAAATGAGTAAGAAGTTATTTTTAGTCCATTTATATTCTAAGATGAGGAAGTGCAGTTACCACTACATTAAAAACCTATTGTTTAAAGATGCTGTGATTGTAATGAATTAATTCCTGACCATTTTTTTTGCTCAGATTAACAATTTTCAACTGTATATTTTTTAGTTTTTTTTAGTTCTTCTCTTTAGTTAAGACCTATCAGTTTAATTATCTAAAGGTTTATAAAGGGAAGATCGGATCAAATGTAAGCATTAACAGCCATAGAAGATGGTAGTGAGAACCTTGCTACAAAACCCTAAATTAAGAAGAATATTAATGATGCATATGATATTAAAAAATGTGTGAGCGACAATCCATAACAGATATGTCATCTTCACACTTAAAGGTCTAATGGCCACATACTACACAGTGTTTTAGTAGGATTATGACAAAAACAATACTCTCAAAGTATTTTTGTCCTTGCTAAAAATTCCTTGGTTTGAAAAACTTCCCACACTTGGAATAATGTGTCACAAATTACCTTGTTTTTTTATTTTAAGTGATGGTGAATCAAACTTCAGTCACTGAATTTATCCTCCTGGGAGTGACAGACAACAAAGAATTGGACTCTTTTCTTTTCCCTGTTTTCCTTACCATCTACTTTGTCAATGTAGCTGGGAATGGAGCCATCCTACGAGTTGTCATCTCTGATTCAAGACTCCACTTACCTATGTATTTCTTCCTGGGAAATCTGTCATGTCTAGATATCTCCTTCTCTACAGTGACACTGCCGAAGATGCTGGAGAATTTCCTTTCTACAGACAAAGCCATTTCTTTCATGGGATGCATTACCCAGCTCCATTTCTTCCATTTCCTGGGGAGCACAGAAGCCATGTTGTTGGCTGTGATGGCATTTGATCGCTTTGTGGCTATCTGCAAGCCCCTTCATTATTCTGTCATCATGAATTCCCGGCTCTGTACCCTGATGGCTGTTGCTGTCTGGACCACTGGGTTTTTCCACGCCCTGATGCACTCAGTAATGACATCTCGCTTGAACTTCTGTGCTTCCAACCATATCCACCACTTCTTCTGTGATGTGAAACCACTGCTGGAGCTGGCCTGTGGGAACACTGAGCTCAACCAGTGGCTACTTAATACTGTCACAGGGACTATAGCTATGGGTCCCTTCTTCCTCACACTACTCTCTTACTTCTACATCATTGCCTATCTTTTCCTCAAGACCCGGTCTTGCAGCATGCTTCAAAAAGCACTGTCCACGTGTGCCTCCCACTTCACAGTGGTTTTTCTTTTCTATGCTCTTGTTCTCTTCATTTATATCCGGCCTGCCTCGGGGAGCTCCCTGGACCAGGACCGGGTCATCGCCATCATGTACAGTGTGGTGACTCCTGCACTGAATCCTCTGATATATACTCTGAGGAATAAGGAGGTTAAAGGTGCCTTGAACAGGATGATCAGGAAAAAAACTGTCCCTTAATAAATTTATTTAATTCATTGGATGTATAATTGAAGGGCAATGAGAACACTGAGACATGACATTATGTTGCTCATTAATTTGCTTAGAATATGTATTGCGGGATGAATTGGATAATGGGGAATTATTTTCTACTTTTATTCTAATCAATTAGAGGGGTTAAGGAATGAATGGGATTCCAGGTGTACAAACCCTAATTTTGAATTTGGGTGGTGTCAAGTGACAAGATTTACCTTGCATTGTTTCTTATGTGTTTGTGTATAAAATCGATGGTACAAATTACCTACGCTCGGTATTTTCACAATAAAAAAAAAGCAAACCTAAATTACCTACGCTGTCAAGAGAATTGAGTAAATGGATAATATTTAGTTACTATTTTGTGTGTAGATCCTTCTATGCTAACACACTGTAATATAATCCATTATTATAATGCATTTGTGTTTTGATGACTTTATAATAGGATTATGAGCATTTAATTGGGAAAGTAATTTCTAAGCGGCACAAGTCAAGAAAAATGAAGAACTATGTTTTATTTCTTCTTCAAATAGGATACCCAATAAATGATTAAAATAAACAACAGGGGAAAGGGCAAGTTGGCAGATTAGAGACACTAAGAACTTTCCTAAATCTTCACAAGTCTGAAGTAAAACATCAGGTGTATGGTTACAAGGAGAGAATGGGTAGTGTGGAAAGGCATTGGAATACAACAATAAATAGTAGGTCAAGGCTAGGTAAAATTCAGAAATAGTGAATTGTAGATCTTCAAGACAAATGGTGGACTCCAGCTTAAAGGCAGTAGACATAGGGAAGTATCACTTCCCTAAGTGAGGCTTTAAGCAAAAGATAAAAAGAAATCCACAGTGAGCTTGACAGGTGCACAATATAGCATTCTGCCAAAATACAGTTTAAGGCCAACTATCTGCGATCTGCACCATAAGAAGGTGGTAAAGCAGGTGCCTGATGCGTTCTCTGGTTGCTTACTGGTGCCGTGGTGGCTCATGCTGAAAGAATTCCTGCAGTCAAACTTTTCACCTGTGGAGAAGAGAATCCTTTCAATTTTTACATCTCCAAGGTCCCACTCACTGAGACACCACTTTGAGGATTGTTGGGAACTTAAGAAAATAGTTGACACAGGTGGTGGCAAGTGAGGTTGATGTGGTAGAGGAGAGCAGAAATCACACTTGGGAGCTGTAGTCTTCTTCTAGGAAGAGGAGGAATGCTAGTTTGGATTAGCGTATTCTGTGGGGACAGATGAAGAATATGCCTCTGTAGTGAATTATAATTCTTTGTTTTACTCATGGGGTAAAGTATTTATTGCAGGGCTGGGAATGCGGCCTAGTGGTAGAGTGCTTGCCTAGCATGTATGAAGCCCTGAATTCGATTCATCAGTACCACATAAACAGAAAAAACCGGAAGTGGTGCTGTGGCTTAAGTGGTAGCTAGCCTTGACCAAATGAAGCTCAGAGACAGTTCCCAAGTCCTCAGTTCAAGCCCCAGGATTGGCAAAAATTAAAAAAAAATTTATTGTAGCATTATTGATAAGTCAGGTTATAGAATCACTTAGGTACCCATCAATACATAAGAGGATAAAAATATGGTATGTATATTCAATAGAGTGTTATTCAGTCTTCAAAAGAATGAAATTACATTTAGAGGGTGAAGGGTGGATCTGGAGTTCATCACGTGAAGTGAAATAAATTAGTTACACAAAGACAAGTGTCCTGTTTTTTCCTCGTTGTGAAATTTGGATGGAGAAAAGGGGCATTATAGTAATGAGGTGCAGACACTGGTAACTCACACCTGTAATCCTAGCTACTCAGAAGGCTGAGATTTGAAGATCAAAGTTCAAGGCCAACCCAGGCAGGAAAAACCTTGAGACTCTTATCTACAATTACAGACCAAAAAAATCCCAATCAACCAACCAAAAACAAACAAATAAAAAAAAACAACCCTAAAACCAGAATTGGATCTGTGGCTCAAGTGGCAAAAAGAGAGCTAGCCTTGGGCAAAAAGAACTGAAGGATAGTCCCCAGGCCCTCTGTTCACCACACACACAAAGTAATGAGGCTCATTATAAAAGTGGAAAGAGAAAGGTAGAAGGAAGTAGATAAGAAAGGTGATGAAGGAGATGAATATGATCTAAGTACATTACATATATGTGGGTATGGTCATAATGAGTCCCATTACTTTGCAAAATTAACATATGCTAATAAAAAGAAATCATATTAGGCCATTGAGAGCCAGGGTGTCTGTGGTTCTGAAACGAAGAGCTAAACAAAGCAAGGGAAGAGAAGAGGAAGCCGGAAGTAAAAGGAAATATCACATATAAGTTGCTAAGGCATTTCCTGCCTATTGTAGATGTGGAAAGGTTACCCATTTCTTCTCACATCAATTCTGCTCAGCACTAAAGGACACTCTCCCTTGGGATTGCTGTGTCTAGAGATCTTTGTCTCATTAAAGCTCCAGCAGAATTTCAGAAAGACAGATGCAGATGAACACCTTAAGCTGCGATCGCAGTAGGAACTGTGACTTCAAATGTTGTTTATTTTTGTATAATTATTGGGAATATAAACCTAAGAAGCTTTCTTACTTGCAATTCTGAATGGAATATGTAGGCAGGTAAGAGAATGGAATGGGAAACCCTCTGGGAAGGCTCATATATTTCCTTTGTGTTGTTGTGGTTGTGAAGAGCCACCCTGCCTTGTCCAGAATCAAATTAAAATCCAATGCCCAGAATTTATAGCTGTTTTTCTGTCTTCTGAACAGCTCATTGTATTTAAGGGCTATGGAGGCACTTCAGTTTCTTTTTGAAATTGTTTTCCAAGTCTCATCTTACTTTGTTGTTTTTCTGAGCCCTCTGTTAAGCAAATTTACAATCTCGAAACATTGAGATTTCAGTGAACAGTCAGTGCAGGCCAATCATATTTCCTTAAAAGTTAGGAATGCACATTTTTTCCATATGAGTTTTTAATAAATATTTTTTTCTTAGAATTACATAAATCAGCTTTGGCACATAATATCTGCTTTACAAATTCACATTCACATTAAAATTCACATTATATCTGGCTCTCAAAGAGAACTTCTCTGTAGTGAGGGCTGTACTTAGAAGTGGAATAGAAGTTCAATCATTGCTCAGAATTTCTTCCAGTTCTACAGCTCAAAATCTCATGGGAATCTCTTGATGTTCTCCCCTGCTTCAGTAATTGCTTTACTGTAGTCAACAGAAATTATTTTCTTCTCTCCTCAGTGATTCCTCAAACCTTGAGTGGTTTATTTCTTGTTGGAACATTCCAAGACCCGCATTTCTTTATTTTTATTATTACTACTACTACTGATAATACAACTACTACTATTATTATTTTTTGGTGTCAGTCCTGGGTCTTGAACCCAGGGCTTGGGCACTGTCCCTGAGCTTTTGTGTGCATTCTACCACTTGAGCTACAGCTCCATTTTCAGGTTTTGGTGGTTAGTTGGAGATAAAGAGTTTCACAATTTTTTTCTGCCTGGACTGGCTTTTCACTGTGCTCCTCAGAGCTCAGCCTCTTGAGTAGCTAGGATTACAGGCACAAGCCTCCAGTGTCTGGCTCAACATCAGCATTTCTGTTCAACTTCCAGACACTTCTCACGGGTCTTTCAGTGTCTTCTAGTTCTATGCTTCACACGCGGCCTTCTGATCTACAGGAGTGGATCCTCTATACCTTCAAATGACAAGGACAGATGGGGAGGAAGCGAATTCACATAATTCTGTGTGGTTTGACCAATGTGCTGCCAAAAAATTATTTAGAAATGCGGGAATGCAGAAAAGCAATTCAATTTTTTTTTCTTTCAGTGAATAGAGCGTACACAGTCCAATGGTATACCTCTTCTTTTTAAAGTCAGCATCTCACCATAACCCAGGTTAGCTTTGAAGTAACTATGTTGTTCAGGTTCTTCTCAGATTTGATATTGTTCTCTCTCAGTTGCCTGAGTGGTGGGATTATAGCACGTCTCACCATATGTGGAAAAGATTAAACCTTAAAGGAATGAACTTATTCACAATACCCTAAACGTTTTAACACTAATTGAAAAAAAATAACCCTTATTATTTCTATAGTATTAGTGAAAAGAAAAAAAAGGCTATGTTTTCCCAGAAGAGAACAGTATTTTTATTGGTGGACAAGCAGAGAGAGAATGAGAAGAACTGACGAATGTTTTCAATTCTGAGAGAAAAGTGACATGAAGCAGGTAGAATTCAAGTCCTGAAAGACAAGTGATCTACCACGGCACAAGTTTGATGTGTACCTCAGGTCAGTTTCATATGTGACATATAATATGTAGTTGTAGTTCTTACCTCATTAATACTCAAGGATATTACTAAGATTTTGGGGCAGAATAAAATTAGTAAAATGATTTTATCAGCACTTTGAAATAAAAAAATTCAATTGATTCTTTGTTAAGAAGCATATTTTTCTTCATCAACATATTATGAATGTAATAAGTATGACCCTGTCTCTTTTCTTAAAAAATTTCAAGTATCTTCTAACTACATCAGAGATATCAGCCATGTGTTATATTTAAAAATTACTCCATGGGGACAGGTGACTTAAGAGGAAAAAGGAAAATTCTATCTATCTATCTATCTATCTATCTATCTATCTATCTATCTGTCTGTCTGTCTGTCTGTCTGTCTGTCTGTCTGTCTGTCTGTCTGTCTGTCTATCTATCTATCTATCTATCTATCTATCTATCTATCTATCTATCTATCTATCTATCTGTTTATAGCCAGGGAAGGTGGCTTCAGAGAAGAAGGCTTTCATGTATTTTCAGTGAAGGACAAAATCTATTGTGAACCACTAAGATAAAATTGTTAATGGAACTATGATAAAAGTTAACAATGATTATAGACAGGCACTGGTGGCTCATGACTGTAACGCTAGCTACTCATGAGGCTGAGACCTGAGAATCCTAGTCTGAAGCCAGCCCAGGCAGGAAAAATCATGACATCACTAATTAGCCACTTAAAA